GATGATTTACACCGTATACGCATACATGTATGCGTATTAGGTGTAAATAATACCGTCATGAATGTGTATGGCAGACTTTGGCAGTATGCCTTATGTTACGTGCTTGACGGGGGCACGTGTGCGTACGTGTATCATTATGGGATATTCGCTTCTTAGTCTATGTGTGCAGAAACAGTGCATCTGGCTGTACAATTGTGGGCTACTTGCACATGACTTACTCCCTTCACACTTTATGAATGCTTTATATTGCTAAAATGCAAATCTTTTGTAGGGGTGATTTTGTATTTTTCCTCGTTTTTTTCGTTCTCGCTTCCTTTTTTGTCGTGGTCATTTATATGATGGGTACTGGGCATATTGCCTATCACTTTTGTGTATTTTTTCGTTATTCCATGTGTGTATGAACTCAACAACTTTTAGTAGTTATATTTTGTGTTCTATCATAGCCAACTAAAAGGACAGAGGTAAACAATATAAAATATGAAATTGTAGACATGTGCATTTTTTCCATGGTATTTAGTTTTCCACCCGGTCTGTCAGACCATGTCTTCCAAAAAAAGGTTGGAAATCTGTCCTCGCCCCAATGTAACCCGTGTTCCCTAATTTTGCCAGGATGAAAGCTTATGTCACCCTGACTCTGTATACTGAATATCAAAAACATGGGTAAAACAGTTTACATTTTTGCCGCAATTGTGCGTTTCTTTCAATACCATCAGTTGAATTGAAAGGAGAATATTGATATTCCCCCTTCCTTCACGCCTCTTGACCTTTGACCATTGGCCTGAGATTCAACCATCCAATGTCGTTTCGGATTGCTGCCCTGCCCTCTTACATCTAATCCCGAAAATCAGTACGGTATGTTGAGCCGTTTACATTTGTGTCAATATTGCTAACGGACGGAGGGACCGACGTTCATGCCATTCTACATGCTGTATCTGACTATATATCAGGCCTCAATAGTTATTTTTCGTTACTATATTTAGACATGTATGGTAACTTATTTCTTTTGCTTATCTGTATGACAGATAATACTGGTATTTTGAGGTATTGTTTCTGGTCACCAGCTATAAATAAAAATTATGCTATTGCTTAGAAATTCCAAGGGGCCGGCTGATATGGTTTATACATTTCTTCATGTAATTGCCCATCAGCTGCTTACGTTAATTTCATTTAATTTGCCAGTATTTTCTTTTATTTGCCACGTAGCTGCTTACAGCACTACGAGAGCAATATGAGAAAGGACAGACTGGGATGTTGTTTCTGTACGTGAGTGTCAGTTTGGCCTCTGTGTGCTGTGCGCGGAAGATTGAAATGAACCCACCATGAGCAGCTGAGCGTGGCAAGCGCACTGTACATGTAGTGGCTTTAATAATCAGTACCGCCTGCGCTGCCTGAAGGTTGGGAGCCCGGCCTTGCTGCTGCGAAGACAGCTGCCGCAAGATACGCAGGCTACTTGGTAAAAACTTCAGAGTGCGCCAGATGTCTATGGCGTCTGCAAATTCCCGCTGCTCTCTGCTCGCCCGGACAAGGAGGAATAGCGTCTTGCGCCCGTGCTGCGTACATGTAGCAGCATCTCTGCCCGTTGGTCAACATCGGCGCTAAAACGTTAGTGCTGGAAGAGATATGTGTATTCAGTAACGCTCATAGGGTCTATGTCCCCCAGGGTACTATCGGAGGGTACCCTGGGTACGGTTCGATATATCGGAACGTAGCCTGGTAACTATCTGATGTGGTTAGGGTTAGGGTTAGGGAGTAGGCGTAAGCGACTCCCTAGACTCGTTAGTGTAGTAGGCGAGGTACGGTCCGGCATATTAGATAGTACCAGGGTACGTTCTGATATATCGAACCGCGAGTACCCGCGGGTATATTCCGAGTACCCTGGGTGACATAGACCCTCTCAGCTTCAGTAACTAAGGTTCGCGGCGATGTCATTCCCTGACGCGTGCACAGTCCAAAACCAACATAATATGCAGGAGCACAAGGCAGTGGTATATCTCGGGATGGCGCCTTGCCGAACTGCTAGGCGGCAGCCCTGTGCCACGCGTGGCGTATGATGTGATTAATCAGTTTTTGTTTTTGTGAGCGGTAATTGGTGTGAAGAAAAATTTTGAAATGTTATCAGTCACTATGTGCTGTGCTTAGTGACAACTGGACAAAGTCCCGAATAATAGTGCAATGCTGAACATTTTTGTAAACGTATTCATGTCAAAGATATTTACCAACGTGCACTACTTAGTATTTGTCAGTACTTATCTACGAATATAAATATTTTTATTGATTGGATTCACATGCCTGATAACATGTAGGCGAGCCATTTATACTTATAACCCGACTTAAGATATATATATATTTAGACCAAAGAAGAATCCTGTTTTAAAATTTACATTCCTGCCACATCAGTGTCGATTAAAGACAAAATATGGGTATATTATCCGCATTGTTAATGAATGCTAGAATAACTGACCTCTCGAATAATTAATAAGTATATAACCTCCCTGCTAAGTTCGTATTAGATTGCCTAATTTCATAAGATGTTACTTTGCAAGCCAGATATTGAGGGCATATAAAACGAAATGAACATGTATGATAAATCATAAATAATGATGGTAACGTTGCGTGTTGCCAGGCATTTGGGTGAAACCGGCACGAAATGAACATGCATTTGACAAAATGTATGATAAATCATTAATAATGATGGTAACATTGCGTGTTGCCAGGCATTTGGGTGAAAATTCTGTATTTCTGATTGAAAATCGTAAGCAACTACTGATATTAAAATGCTAATGATTTTCAATTGAGCTTTTTCTGAGTAATCACCAGTGGAATAGGACGAACTAAGATGAATTTGCTGGTAAGGTTATATATATTTATATATACTTATGAACCTACACAAAGTTCCAGTTGTGTTAGCATTTGTAAACAGTGTGGATTAAAAATAGCTATTTTCTTTGTCTAATGCTTACCGGAAGCTAATAAGTGCCAAATATTACACCTAGTGATGTGAGGTTCTGCTTTTTTCAACGAAATATAGTACTTCATGTTATCAAATACTCTAAATATAGTTTAACCACGATTTTGTAAAAATTGTATGAAAAATGGTTTCTGGTATGACGTCACATGGATGAAATGATCCTAGCAGTTATTTCTCCACCAAATTTCAAAATTCCCATGATATATTCATTATTGTGACAATGTGTCAATGAGCTGTGAAGAATTTAGAGGATTTGGCAGTTGGAAGATAAAATAAGTTAGCTTTTGATTTAGTTTATGTTCAAGATTTCACTGTCAGAATTCAATGAATCCTTGTAACAAATCTTTTTTTAATAGTGATGTTGATAATAATTGTTACAGTGCTCTTTTTAGCAACAACCTGATACTGTTCATGGAGACCAACTGCAACCCACCCAAACAGCTAACCGGCATTGGTATACCTTGAATATTGCACCGGCCTGTTCTCTCACGCGCACACTACGTGTATGTCTGTATGTTTGCGTGGGCGTGCGTGCACCATATTGATATTTTAGGTTTCTAAACACCCTTATCTTCGTATGAAATATTTTTACTTTGTAATATAAATATATATGATGTTCCCGCACGTTGATTTGTATACCAGCCATATAAAATACTTATAAATATAATTTGCTAAATGAATAATGAGTATAGAAAATGCGTATAGTGTGGCCATTATAGAGATAGGATAGAATGTAAGGCATATATATATATATGATATATATGTAACAGCGTGTGCAAGATAGGTATGATAGTTGTCAACGTTTTATGTTGTAGACAGTGGATTAATGAAACTCTAGTGCAAATGCAGATCTAGGGGGTGGAATCACTATAATGAAGCTGACTCTGAGAAGACAAAGCCTGCATGTTATCCGGTTTCTCACTAGTCGAGAAACTGAGGTAGTTGTTAAGGATCGAGGAATGGAATAAGCACCTATATAAAAGGGGGCCAGATATCTAGCAAGGGATTGTAAGGTAGAGGGATTCCAAGATAGAGATCGAGACTCCTAGGTGATGAGACTTGCGGACTCTCAATACTCTGGTCACCTCACATTTGTAACCGTTGGTTAACCACCATTTTCCTTACCAACCAACCATGGAAAGGCAGAGAAACGATAGAGAAGGCAGAGGCAAGGGCAATGTGAATGAGGTAAAACAATGATTAAAAAGCTAGAGGCAGCAGGTGGAGGAGCGACAGAATACTGTTAGAGAAGATAGAGGAAGAAAGAAGGTAGAATATGGAAGTATGAGTATAGGAGGTGGGTAGTTAGCTGATGGTAGAGAAGTATGGGAATGTGTGACAGTGGGGAGATGAGGGGGTGTGGTAACTCACAAAGGCCTTCAGTGATATCATTTGTCTTTATACATCTTTCCCAATTTTTGCTTTTTCATTAGCATTTTACCCTATGAGGCTATGAAACAAGATTAGAGAAGGTGGTGAGCCGTTGTTTTTTCCCGTTTTGTGCTGAGAGCATGTCGGACGCTCAGTTGCACAGTTCCTGATCCAATACTTCAAGGGCAGATGTCGGTCAACATTGTGACTACAGCATATCTAAACACGGAATCCCATACCACTGGCAGTTCCAGCAGATCGGTTCAATTCAGTTTTCCACACTGTTGCCTTTGCTGTTCCGTATGTTCAGTTCTTTTACATATAACTGTCGAAGACTTTTGAGGCTCCATAACAATATATCAGGTTTTCCTACATGACCAACCAGCTTCTGCACCCGCTTCTCGCATATCTTGTGTCTACCTGTGCTAGCCTGTTTTTATGCGAACACTAGACGTTTTGCTTAGAGACAATGCTCAGGAAAGTTAACGTCAGGTGTTCTTGGCTGTGTCTTTGTGGTTTTTAAAGATTTTGTAAGTTTGTAGAGCCCAAGGTTCTGTGTACTGCTATAATGTAAGTCGTTGGCCTCACTCCTAGCTAGGCGCCGGGATTTTCTTGCTAACCCCGTCTCTTCTCTCAGTAGTTTCTGATGTTATTCATTCAGGAACAAAGAGCAACAGATTCGACTGAGAGATGGTACAGGCATGCAGTACAGGCTAGGTTCTCCCAGAAACAGTGTCTTCCCCAAGAGAAGGTAAAAATGTTGCATGCAAGAGACAGATACCTGTAGTGACTAGAACTACCATCTGGATGTTAACTTTAGTAGCCATTTGTGCAGCAACATGGTCGTTCAGTTAACACTGGAAATAAATCTCGAACTTTGTAACCTAGCTTGTTGGTTTTCTCATCTTTAAACACATGACCCTAAGTGTTGATAGTCCTTGTAGATGCCTGCATCTAATATTAGTGATATTCTGAGAAAGAACTGACATATATGTATATATATATATATTATATACACACACATATATATCAGTTCCTTTTCGTATAATATGTACATAATATGTTTACATATCACACTAAGCCACAGGGTGATTACAATTGTCGTTCGCTGCCACCTATGGCCAATGGTACATGTATGCATTCATGAATCCGTTCTTGGTTGAGTGGTATTTTGATGTGATTGAGAGTTTATATTACATAAATTGGTACAGCAGTTTGTACTGAAATGTATCACGCAAAATATAGCTTGCAACATGTTGGGTGTCTATCTTTGCATACTGTGTACTGGGCTTTAGTATTAAAGTATTTTCAGCACGTAGCCAACTAATGTGGTGTTATAATATTTTCGTGTGAATATGAAACATTTGATCGTGTTATAGATTTAGTGACTGTAGATATCATAAGAAATAATAATGGTGGGTACAACTTTAATGCTGTATCTGTATCTCATATGATATTCGTTTCTTCACTAAAAAGTTTAAGTTGGTTTCTTCACTAGGGAGACATTCTTTAACCGCCAGTACTAATTATGTCACCATTTATGGCTTCAACTTCACCTTTTGCATCAAATTGAGATGTGGAAGATGAAAGCAAAAGTACGAAATTAACCCATTTTCTGTAACTTGACCAGAAAATTAAGGGTAACAATGCAGATTGAATAACACGAATAATAATAAAGAGGAATCTGAATCAAGAGATCAGTTGTTAAAAATCAAAAGTCAAACTGCACATTGTTTGTGATATCAAATGAACCATATATATGTAATATTTACAGTGTTGCGAAGCTGATTTATTGTTTTGTTAGGTACTGTGATCTTGTAAATAAAGTACTCTCCGTGTTATTTTTTGGGTTAATATTTGTATGTGTTTTTAACGTACAATTAATAGTGTCTAAACACAGAGCAATTCTGTAATGAGTTCACGCGTGTGTGCTTTGTGTAGTGTCTTCTGCTGCTCTTGTCTTTACTTGGGCAATTATGACACATTTAACACAGTGTCTTGTAAATGTTTTGCTTGTAGGGTGTATGCTTCACTCTCTCAGCCATGATATGACACTTGCCAGAAGGCTTCTATAAAATTACATTATATTAATAATATACCTCTATAAATACTGATATTTGTAATATATTTATTGTTACGCCTGGAAATACAAGGAAATTTTTTTACTTGGTAACATAGTTTGCTATTTTTTTAATTGTAAGAACCTTGCGCATGTTACCGGGGACCGGGCAAAAAGCCATTTCGAGCAGTGGTATGCGTCTTGTGTACATCACTGAATCGTTGGGATTAAAACTTAGCCATATGTTATATACGTCGTGTGGTCGTGTGTATAACCTGACCGTGTGTATGATGAATAGTAGTACACCAATGCCGTGCCTGGCCCCGTTCTACATGCACCAGGAGTAAATAATACCAAGAGTCCATAATAGAGACATCTATTAATTCTCTAACTCTTCTTAACTCTTCTTAAAACTCTAACGTGTCTATTATGGACTCTTGATAATATTGAAGAAGTTAAAAAAAAATTCACGTGTTTACCAACGTCCTCCTCAACATTTTCTGCTAATAAAGATGGAAATGTGTACTTTCGGAGGTTATTCCGTACGTTTATAATTTGCCCATGTACTGCAATTGGATTATACTGCTATCAGTAGTCAAATTGCTGTAAATATGGGCAATTTGGTGTAAATTTCTGTCTTGGTGTAAGGGTATCCTGGATTCGGAACCACCTGGTGCCCTTTGCCTATAGCACAGAACAAGTGGTGTCAGAGTTGTAATTACATATTCATAGTAATCGTAGATAATAAAGCACATGGATCACACAAATGATCTAGTCCTCCATTAGTGTATGTGTGTGTGCGCGTGTGTGTTCGTGCAGCTCGTGTCTCATGTGAGTGCGCACCATGGTCATCTTGGTGAAATTGGAACAGTAGCATGATGTTTGCCCCCCTCCACTATTCTAGAAAGGCCAGCTAGGGCTCCACCGCCCCTGGCCTGAAATGCAATTTAGGACAAGTGCGTTTACATTTCAACTTTACGGTCGTATAATGAGATGTGAACCGAATTTAATTAATTAGAAACAGTAAGTGAACAAATGAAATGGTTGCTAACTGTACTTGTAGAGTGGTACCATCAATAGTGGTGGCATGAACATCTGCAGACTCATCTCTGACACTGACAACGTACACAGCTGCTACTACTCTGCACTGCAGTATGCATTTGGCAGTATCGGTGCCCATGTGTATTTAGTATTATCCCTAGTCATCTGCTAACCAAATGCGTGTTACCCAGTGTGCGTACGTGCATTGAGCATGTGTATTTGCAATTATTGTTAGCCATAGATAGACTGGTGTTACATAGACCGTACATGCGTGCGTGCGTGCGTGCGTGCATTCGTGCATGCGTGTGCCCATGCTATGTCTCTATGTATGCATATATTTATTTGAAACTACGTGTTAGCCTGTATGAGGGTATCACACACACACGCACGCACGCACGCACGCACGCGCGCGCGCGCGCACGCACACGCACACGCACACGCACACGCACACGCACACGCACACGCACACACACAAGCGGGCTATCTTAGTCCGCACTACGTTAGCCCGGGCCTGGCCCTGCTTCATTTGCGGGGCTAACTTGGAGCGGGCCAGCGCGTATTTGGAGCGGGATAGCGTGTACACACTGCAAATATTTAGCGCGAGTCTGACGCGCTCTAGTTTAATTCGTAGTCCTGTACGGGGTATAAATATAATTTAGATTAGAACAGTTTACTTAAAAATATATTTCTAACTATGGCGTTAAAAATATAAATCGCACAATGAAAGGCAATTATAACATTATAACAGGCGAATTCTTCCCAGACTCTATAGATGGGGTTTCTTTTGAGTTAGGGGACAGGTGCTGCATACTCCCATGCAGTGAGTGATATGGAAAACTAAAAAACTAAAGCAAAACTCTAGTCCAGCCTGCAAAACAAGATAGTACGTCAGAGCCAACTAGTTACAAGGTATTGATCTAAAGTGAAAACCAACATTTAAATTTCTCAATAAGTTGAATATTGAAGTATACTTCAAATGCCTCCGTTCATATATGCCCTAGTGGAAATGAAGGCGACATGCAGCTGTATTGTATAAGATTCTATACGTATGCTCGAAAATGTAGTCCATCAGTAGCTCACCGTACCCGTTTTCGTAATTGAAATGTCAGACGTTCCTCCGATACCACTTCTGTTTCACCAACCGCATTGACTTACCTTTCGTGCTACCTGCTTTAGCCAGCTGTGCTTGGTTGGTGAGAGGCCTCATTGTGGGAGGCAGCGCAGCCTGAGGCTACTTATATCGCACCTTAAAGACATTCTTTCTTAAATAAATACACTATTGGGGAAACATATCTAGGTAAATAAATATAGTCTCATCTAATAGCGTAAATGAATGATCACTTTAGTATAAAAATTACCATGAGTTATATATCAGCCATTTCACGTAGGTAAGTGTATACATCAAAGTTGAAAACTGAAGTGAGAGCTATATATAGTGACATGAATTTTTTATTTATTAAGAGAAATAATGAAATAGTATAAATCCAAAATATCATGTCAATAGGCCCTTTTATTAAAAAATCACAGCGTCTTGAATGTGGGCGAACTGAATGACAGCAAAGGTGGTTAAAAGTGCTTCTCAGAATCAGAAAAATTGTCTATTATCTAAAGCTTCAGTTATGAATAAGCCAGTCTGTATTAAGTAGCCAATACATCATATTTCATACAAAATTAGGATGCCTATCAATTCGCATTAGGATTTCCTGAAATTCATATGATGGAAACATCCTCAAAATGTGTCATGCGAGTCACCAAAAATGAATTTTTAAGTTTGTGAAGAAAATAAAAAGGGTAGCAACAAATGCTTGATACTGGTAATTCTTCTAATGCTACCTTTTCAGTTTAGTTGAATACATTTTTATTTATTCTTTAATCCTGTAAGAAAAAACTACCTCATATGTCACGCGAGTCACATTTATGGGCTGTCACGCGAGTCACATGCCTGCACTGTTTATCGTTATGAGAGGAACGTCTTTTTAAGCAAATATACAATTTGGAAAGTAAGCACTGACAATGACATGTAGAACTACTTTGAACATAGAACCACATGAAAGTTACTAATAAAAATGAAAATAGGATATCACAAACTATTCTGCGTGACTCGCGTGACGGGCTAGCTAGCTACTAACACATGTTTTGAAGTATACTTCCCACCTAAAAGATTTTGTAAAATATAAGTTTGATTTGAGTTATACCTGGTGAACTAGGTACCCTTCATGATCCATACATCATTTTCACTGCTAGAAACCTTTCTTCAAGTGAGCAACATCCTCCTAAGTATGTGACTTGTGTGACTTTGTAGCTCATAGCATTAACAACTGTTAGGGTAATCAGAATTTTGATGACTGAAATGATTTGTTCCATGAAGAAAAAGTTAATACTTAGTTACTACCATATGATTCATTGTGAAAACAGGGGAATTATTGTAAATCTCGGCTTTGTATAGGAAGAATGGTGCATACGCTATGCATGGGTTGCCAACATACAATATTGTACAATAATTAACAATGTGTAGCGGCAAGGTCCAGCGGCTGAAAATAGTGGTTTTTGCCCGCAGGTCCGGGACTTTTCAGCAATATTTTTCGAAGGTCCGATGAAAGATTTGAAAGGTCCGAATATGTAATGTTTGTTTGGCTAATAGATCGTTTCGTAACAGCTGAGTTGGTCCAATTTTTGATACAAACCCAAATATAAACAAACACATGTTTGTCCTTGTTTGATACAATACATACATTGTTTGATGCATTCTGAGTTACTCGCACGAGCGATGACTGGAGTTTATGCTGAAACTGTGTGCGCATATCCGTTATAAACAACCATGCTACTAACGTTGCGGCCCTATCAGTACGTGTAATGATTTTCGGTAAACTTGACTCTTATACTTGGTATGTTTCATTGTGAATATTAAATATGATACTAGATGTTGACAGTGACCAAAAATCGTTTTACTCTTGCTTTATTTCTTTGCAATTTGCAATGGTTTAATGATGTTTTATTTGATGAAAGTTGAGTACTGTAAATTATTGATATGCCCGACGGACCTTCTGCTTGGAAATTGCGAAGGTCCGAGCGTGAAATCGGCAGGTCCCGGACCTCGGGCTTGCCCTATTTTCAGCCCCTGAGGTCTCATCAGAAACAAGTAGCAACAAGAATTCAACAAACGAATTCAATCATTGGTGAAAGTAACGATGTACTAGTGTTGTATGACATGTTAGCTTTACTTTAGACACTTGTAACAATGGCCGGAATCTCTCTTTAATATGTGCATATATGTGAAGTTATTGTGTATAAATACACTTGCTACTCAACGGTCGGGCAGATTGTTCGAAATCATTACTTTAACGCACCTGCAAATGCCAGAAGCCATCTGTACTTAAAGGTTGGTTCTAAGGGTGCGTGGTGGGGTGCCACCCTCACAGTTGTAGGAGGCAGTGCAGGCTGAGGCAGCGGCTGAAAACTGATAGCTACTCCAACGTCACTGCCGCAACAGCTGCCATCAAAAACATCCTGTAAGCAACTAATGATATTTCGGTACTGAATATTTACGTTGGCATCATGTTTTCCATCCATCTTGCTATAATATGTTCAGCCACCATTGCTAGCTTGTGGCATATTTTTGTCACCACCCTCTGTGGCCATATGCGCAGGCTTATTTGTTTAAGGGCTGTGCATAATATGCAGATAATTCACTTCCAGCAAGTTCAGAGTAAAACCAAAATCATTAAATTGTTTGCATATATATATTTATTTACATTTTTTTTTTGCATTTTACAATACAGCCTGTAGCTTGTGAATCGTACATTCTATATGGAATTAAATAGTAAATGTGATTAAAGTTGGAAGTATTCAGTTCATGTTACTTTCCACAAACGATGAAGATTGTTGAGTTCTTGCCCACACTCCTTAGTCTATATGCCCATATATATATTCAAATACGTATATTAGTTGTATAATGGTGGAAATTATCCTCTGGGCTACTGTTCACTGGTTTTTTTTTATTTTTATTAAACCTACTTTTAGTGTCCTATGGCTTTTTACTGTGCACACTTTACTGGAAACAAAAGCAGTGATGTTCCTATATATATCGTATTTACATTAGTTTTAGTTTCCGGTAAAATCGTACCTCATAAACTGCCAGAAAATGCATGCAAGCGTTCAAGCCGATATGCGGTGATATACGCTTATTGCTAGAGGCTGCCAGCTCTCAGTGAAACTGCCTCTAAATATATACTGCGAGAAAATTTACAACAGTTTTGGGTTTCACATCTGAGCAGTTGACATGAAACATTGAACCCAGGCCATGCATGCTTCTGAACAGCTGAGGACGACTCCTGTCTTCATTTTGAAGTTTCTAAACATTATGACCGCCCAAAAGAGTGTTTCGCAGCTCTCCACTCATAGCATCTCAGCTGCGGAGCTTCCAGGCTGCAAAGCTTGCGCTGCAGCCCAATACTTGTAAATCTCATCACTCTACTGAGCATTGGTGGTCAAGTTGTAAGTGGCAGTCGGTGTCGGGGCTTCTTGTAAGAATTGTATAACCTTGTTGAGGATGATTATTATAATGGGAATCTATGTATGCAGTACGATTGGGATGACTTCTTTCATCTTGATTGTATGCAGGCAAATCGGGCATTCTTCAGTGGGCTCTTATGTAAACAGTAATTAAATTTGAAATACATGGTGACTTAATATGGTATTTTTAGTTAGAATGGAATACGTATGTAGTAATAAACGTTGTTTGGTATCTTTTCATGTAGGTGCATGTGCATATCTTTTTTGAATTACTGCTAGGATAAAGAACAAAGCTTTTTTATGTGATTTCATGGGAAAAACTTATAGCTGGGGAAACCCAGAACTGATGGATTGTATACACATCCTGATATGAGTATAGACTACATTTGTTCACTAGAGTGAGCTCAGCATTTGATCTTCAATGCGCACTGATGTTCTCAGTTTCCATCTAAGCCATAGAGCTCAGCTGGTGAATATAATGGTGTACAAACACTCACTATCCCAGTGAAGAATGCATTGCAAGCTTTGACATCTATGTTAAAATCGCAAATAATGGACTCATAACATTTTCTTTCTGATTTGTAATTGATTCCTACCTTGCAACACTGACCAGGTCTCTCTGCGACGTTATTTTCTTACTGAATGACAGACAATACACACGCATTCATACTCACATATATACACATGCATGCATACACATGCATGCATACACATGCATACCAATACAGTTCACATGCCGAGCTATACTTGGTTTCTAACCTGCCTTCATAACTGTGTGGCTATGCATATGCAATCGTGTTTGGTTTAATCCTACCTTTCCTTGGCAATGACTTGGTAATAACCTAATTGCAAAATTAGTACAAGCAACTAATAAGCTGTATTCTCTTCTTGTTGCAGTCACATAGAGAAAAGCACAACATGGACAGACCCACGCCTGAAGTACTATTCAAATATGCAAACTGGTACAACACTTGAGCCTTTACCTGGTGGATGGGAGCAGGCAACTACCGAAGCAGGAGAGACATATTATATAAATCATATAAACAGGACAACCAGCTGGTTTGACCCGCGGCTACAGCCATGTAAGTGTGCTGAAATGTATAGATCACAGCAAACTCCATGTTTTCCTAAACGAATGGTTCTGCTCACATGGTCTCACTTAGTTCTTAAATATTGATGCCAGTGATTCTATGTGACAATCTTGTTGACAATGTTCAGTCATTAAAAATAAACGTTAAATGCGAATATATGAGTATAGGTTCTACATGTGTGACTGTTGTGTAAGAATTGTGGTTGTGTTTGCAGCGATGCATGCTCAGCGAGCTGGCGGCCCTGGTGGTCCTGGTCACTTGCCCCCACAGCTTCAGCAACAGCCAGCTTCTCAGATTCCCACCTCTGGTAAGTCCATCTGCTAGCAGTCTTACTGTACTTTAAGCTGAGGAACTTGTATTGCACAGGAGTGCAATGTCATATATTATCAATGAACAGGTGAGCTTGCAGAAGCGCCAACTAAGCTAGGACATTCACCTGTAGAATCAGTGACTGGGCAGGGAAATACATAGTCATGGCGTGTCAATTTTAGTAATTTAATGTGGTCAGTTCCGACTGGTAGATAAGATCCTGTTTATGAGGTGATTAATACCAAGTTCAAATATAGAAATGCTGTGTTATCGAATTTCATATTTTAAGAGGTTGGTTATGATAATGATGGTTATAATCTATATCTACAGTCTTCGAATTTAGCCGGGCATTCGATGTCCGAGACAGTGTTGAAATCTCGGTGGGCATGTATCCATTGCAAGCTCACTTGCCCGATGGACTCCTGCTTTAAAAACTCATAAAATATAATGAAAATGGCCATTAAATAAAGGTTTTTAATTTAAAATCACGAAATGTTAACATTGGATACGAATGGCATCTAGAAGTTGTCTGGTGTACACTTCTTTATTTGATATTCCAAAAATATTCCTGTAAAATATATGGGCAACTAGAGTGTCGTACGGGCATGTACGTTTTATGGAATACTTGCTAGTGACTCAAAAAGTTTTTCGTGAAGACTGAATCTATATCTATAATAATTATATCTATCATAACCTTCCTGCATTTTTATTGCAAGTATACAAAGCATTCGATACCTTTATTTCTTCAGACAATTTGATATCCTTTTATTCCATAATCTCTAGCTGAATCAAATGCAACTGTTGTCTCATACCCATCTCCTATACAGTGTTTCCCCTGGCCAAAAAGGTCAGGGAGGCGGTAAAATTGATTTTGGTGGGTGCGCTATCCGAGGAGCGAGCAACGCGAGCATCGAAGGTGGTTGCGACGCTAGAGGGGTTCGGGGGGGGGGGATGCTCTTTTGTAAATTTTAAAAAAGGTGCAATTTGGTGCATTCTAAGCTGTTCTGAAAACATATGAGACTCTTGAATCACTTTTCAAATTGTCAAAAGGAACAAATGAATATGAAATGATACACTAAAATATCACATTAAATAGTAATACTGTCGAAAACGAGGCGAATGCCTGGAGCGTGGCAAAGATCTTGAAGCTTACGGTTATGTGTATCAATGATCTTATGAATTTGAAGTTCATACATTTGAAAAATACATAATTGAACAAAAGATTTAAAAAAATGTTATTAGTTAATTATTTTTAGCTCATCTGACACAGTCAGATGCAGCTTGTAGAATCGCATGAGCGTGCGTGCGTCCGTTCGTGCGTCCGTCAACAGTTGGGCACAAATCTAAACGGCTCGACGTACGGGCACGATATTCGGGACGTGGGGGGGGGGGGTAATCCGAAAACGAGTTGGGATGTTGAAGCTGGTGGTCAAAGGGCAAAGGTCAAGAGGTGTAAAAGAAGGGGGAACATTCCCTCCTTAACTTAAGGTATAGGGAGGAAATGCAGAATTGCGGCACAAATCTAAACGGCTTGACCTAGGCTCGTGATAGTCGGTGTATAGCATCATGGTAGGAAAAGCCATCACTGTGCCGAAATTGGAGGTCACAGGTCAAAGGTCAATGGGGCACAGGGCAGATTTTAGACATTTTCTGAGGACATGGTCTGACGGAGCGATTGAAAAACTTTTTTGTTTCAGCGGTCACCTAGCATTTTTATGGCTTTATTGAAAAGACCATGAAATGTACTTTCTGCTGACATGCGAAGAGTAAGTGTCGGATAACTTTTTGACCCTCAAGACTCACGAGGGCTGTACCTTTTGACTGCTGGGTTTGCTAGTAGAATCTGTACATGCCTGGATGTATGAGGCTACAATGTCACAGTGAAATTTCAAAAGCTAAATTTGGTTGAAGGTTTATGCTCCATAAATCGTATAATTTCTATGGCATTCTGTACTGTCAGTGTGTTACATGTAACTTATGCCACTGCCAGTGCATGTGGTGGTGATAGTACTAAGTACTGTGTAGTTTTTGCCTGCATTAATTAGATACAGGTGGCAGCTCTCTATTTCAGCCTGTAGGCTTGCGTAGGTAAATGGATGAGTGCTTACCTATTCTGTCTTGCAAATAGTTGTTGCTACTACGTACGATGGGAGCTTCCATCTTTAATCTTAAGACACTTAAACGTACGCGCCATCTCGTGGCAACTTTCATAACGATCCCAACGAACATTCCTTTGAGAAGGTTCCTGATACCATCCCTGTGCCTTGCACTGTTTCGGCGCGTATGTGAACACATTTGGGACTAACAGGGTTTACTAGAATCCCACCACTCCACCACAGAGTCACCGCAGTAGACGCTAGATGAGCGTTGTTGCGCCGCGGCACTTGTTATATGCTCTCATTTGCATTAATAAGTATTAACGCTTAACAGCATGAAAAATTGAAATGCGATTTTATTTCAACGAAAGCACTTTCCTGGTGTGGAATACAAACGAACACCCATGCGTATGTATGCATAGGTATAGCGCTGCTGGAGTCAACATGGCGCCTGTGGCGCTCAAGTACATGACCAATCATCTTTCTAACCTGTGTTTACAGGGGTCGAAATAAGGAGAAAAAAAGAGATGGTCCACAGGACCATCTAGTTTGAAATTTAGATGGTCCTCCTAAATTTCAAATTGTTCTCTAAAAGTAATGCGGCGTGCAAGCATAAGAAAGAGATTTTACATGGTGATAAAATGGTTTAATTACAATGAATGTATCAAACGATACAGTAATTGTTTATTCACTTTAATGGTATATTGGAACGTGGAAACTTCAGAGAAAATTACCGTAAAATGGGACCAAAATATTCAATGGTCCGTCGGACCATTGACTTTGAAAGTCTGATGGTCCTCCTGATTATTTGATGGCCCCGGACCATCAGACCATCGCTAATTTCAACCCCTGGTTTATCTATAGGCCTTGCCAAGATTCGCGTCACGCGTGTTGACAGTATCGTAAGTACGCGGCGTTGTGCTTTACGTTTGAAGCTTTATTTCGATTTTAGCTCGAAAAGTGGAGTTTATTGATGGAAGAACAGTGATTTCTGTCAACGAGGCAGTGTTTTGGACAAATTTCTGTGTGGCGGCTGAGAATTTGAGTGAGGCGGCCTGCCTCGCTCGTGTCAGTGCAGGACAAACACTGCTATATGTCTTTGCAGAGTGATTTGCTTACTTGCTATTTTCATACCTTTCTGCATCACAGCATTTTTGATTATTTGCTATTTTGTTGTGTGACAGTGGGCGGGAATTTGCCACACCTGTCACCACAGGCCCGGCAGCAGAACCTGCGCCTACAGAGCCTGCAGATGGAACGAGAGCGGCTGCGCCAAAGGCAGCAGGAGATTTTTCGGCAGGTAGGATCTACCCAGAAACCCCAGTCGGCTGTGCATGAACCGCCTGCATGCCACAACCAGGTGCCTTTTTTATTTAATCTATTATTACTACTACTACTACTACTACTACTACTACCACTACCACTACCAATATTACTACTACTGCTACTACTACTACTACTACTACTACTTACTATTACTACTATGACTGTGACTACTGCTACCACCACTGCTGCTGCTGCTGCTGCTGCTGCTGGTGGTGCTGCTGCTGCTGCTACTGCTAAGCATTGCTCAATACTCAACTATGAGACAAGAATTAGTTATGCTAATATGTGTATTGCTACCACTTGTGTTTTGCTAAGTATGCGATAGTGCAGTCATATTTTTTTCAACTTTCTCTGCTTGTGTGAGAGAGATTCACTGGTCTGAGAGAGTGTAAATTGAATTAATCTAAAAAGCTCTAATGTAGTTGAGTTAAATAATGCAAATTTATATTATCAAATTTATAAACACTGAATGATTACATACAATATATATATATATACCAGGGCACGAAATTCAGATTTTTTTGCACCGGCGCAGAGGGCTGGTAACAGCAATTTTTTACCAGCCCTCACCATAATTTAATACCAACCCTCACAAATTTTGTTTGAAAATCCATGCCATGTTTCACGCTTGCATTCTCGATTTCAAATTTGTAAAATGTTGATAAATTATGGCATGATATCCTTCAGGTAAAACCGTAATATAGGCTATTTGCTCTTTAATGCTATAAAAAAATGTAGGTACTCGCTAACACGGCTGAAACCACCGGCTCGGATGGCCAGTGTTTTGCCAATGTTACCGGCCCTCCAAATAATTTGCTGGCATATGCCGGCGGGCCGGTGCTAATTTCGCGCCCTGATATATATATATATATATATTAAATCTACATTTACGTTATTGCATTTTGCAGTTTGCCTGCAAGACAATAATGTATATATATAGCTACTATTTTACCCAATTTTGTGGGCAAGATACATTCTAGAGGCTTAATTGTCTGCTAAGCAAAATGCGACTCTGCAACAAACTCATAAGTACATGGTGCTCAACGAGCTGCTTTTCACAACACACCTTGAGACACACTGCTTTAAAATTAAATAACCAAGTACTGTGCAATTACATTGAAAATGAAATGTAATATTGTCAGAATCACTTCTTAACCATCACTAAAGGCATGACATTCAATCATTGAAACCACTGGGTTAGCACATCAGCATTGCTTTCAAGAGCAAAAGAAAACGTTACTGCCAATATAATGCAGAGCAAAGCGAACTTTACAGGTGGCAGTGGAAATTGTCCTTAGTCTTTTTGATTAGTGTTTAATATATTTTTTCTTGACCAATACTATACTTACTACTAAGTGACCAGTATTTATTAAATGATATTTAAACGCACTGTTGCGATGAATGCAACAGTTCCATATTATTAGTAAAGAAACACGCGTTGAACATAATATTCTTGAGGTTATAGTATGTTGCACTATCGCATCCTCTGAGATTGTCTCCCTAAGTGGACAAAGCAGTGAAAAACTGCCTAAACCATCTTGTGCATATATTGGATTGTACAGGGCAGTATTGTTTTGCTACCTCCGCAAAGCCCATTGCTTGTTCTAGTTTAGTTGTGCACTGCTTTGTTCTAAACTTTTCTGTGTTGTACTCGTTTTATAATTATCCTTTTTCGTTATTGTTCGAGTGTAGATCACAGAAATGTGAAGTGGCATTACTGTGCTGGTATTGATACGACAATATAAAAGAATAATAGGAATAGCCGGTAATGTTTGTCCCGTCTACCGGTTTACCAACCTTTTTAATTATAATAGCAGGCATATATTACATGTTTTTCTATGTTATTCTCGCGATATTTTATCAACCGGCCCCTGTCATGGTAACCAGGTTTGTTTAAGTGCATGCCTATATTTTATGTAAATATATCAGCATTTGTATTGTTTGTTTTCTGCTACGGAAGTGATGCCATCATTTGCATCTGGGTGAGTACTGAAAAGCAAAACCACTGTTTGCTAGATCTTTTGACGACACAAATAAATAAAGCCATCGTGTATGAACTAGAACTGCGAGTGAGTTATCAACATGAATAATTCTTATGTATCCTTGCACGTCCATATTTCCCCCACACTGGGAGAGAGAGAGAGAGAGAGAGAGAGAGAGAGAGAGAGAGAGAGAGAGAGAGAGAGAGAGAGAGAAAGAGCAATAGCATTGGGGGAGGGAGGGAGGAAGGAAGGAAGGAATAGAGGGAGGAGGAGGGGAGGGAAGAGAGGGATAGGTTTATTTATTGATATGTATAATATATAATCTACTACAAGAACCAAATATGTCTGTCTGCTATGCGTTCCACCATTTATTGGTTTAGGATGCCCAAAATTGCCACACTGTTAGGTGATCACCAATAGGCGTGCCTATAAGCACATTTAGATGATATCTAGAGCAAAATATCATATGGAAATGCCTGGTTTCACAGTTGGTTGGAGCTCTGTGATTGGTTCATACCCTTCATATATAGAATCTACTGACAAATCACAGTAAATGTATGTGAATAAGGCAGTATTTCATGCCGTACTTTACATTCATGCCCATTGATGGAAAGATCAAGAGTTTCAATTTTGTGCAAGAAGCATGCAAATTGAAGGTACTTAATGAAAAATTATGAGCACTTGAAGTTTGTTAACATGTTAAGAAGCGATGTGATTTAATGTGAGGACATTATACTCTTTTTTCAAGTCTTGACTCAAAACGAGCCCTCTGCTGTTAAATGTATACCCAGTTCCACTTCCAGTAGATCTACATGTACCGGTACTCTGGCTAGGAGCGAGCATAATATATATATATATATATAGAGAGAGAGAGAGAGAGAGAGAGAGAGAGAGAGAGAGAGAGAGAGAGAGAGAGAGAGAGAGAGAGAGAGAGAGAGAGAGAGAGAGAGAGAGAGAGAGAGAGAGAGAGAGAGAGAGAGAGAGAGAGAGAGAGAGAGAGAGAGAGGAGAGAGAGAGAGAGAGAGAGAGAGAGAGAGAGAGAGAGAGAGAGAGAGAGAGAGAGAGAGAGGGAGAGAGAAGAGAGAGAGCAGAAGAGAGAGAGAGAGAGAGAAGAGAGAGACGAGAGAGAGAGAGAGAAGAGAGAGAGAGAGGAGAGAGAGAGAGAGAGAGAAGAGAGAGAGAGAGAGAGAGAGAGAGAGAGAGAAGAGAAAGAGAGAAGATGAGAGAGAGAAGAAGAGAAGAAGAAGAGAGAGAGCAGAGAAGCACGCACGAGAGAGAGATGAGAGAGAGAGAATGGGACGAGAGAGATACAAGTAACTGTTAGTGTGCGAGTGGGTGTGTGGACACCGAATCAAAGAGGGAAGAGTGAACAAGTAAAAAATGAGCAAGAGGCTTCGGTAGGCAATAAATTAGAGGATCCGTGAATAGAAGATATATTCAATGGTTACAGTTGGCAAAATGAATTGGCATATGTATTGAAAATGTTTGAATTAATGACGATAAATGTGCGTAGGTATTCTGTGACCGTAAGAGCGTGGGTCTGGGCCCAGACGCTTGCTGTAGGCTCTATGGCAATATTTCGTATGAATGCGATTTTGAAGTAATAGAGTTTTAAACAGTCTTCGGACGTTCTCGTAATTTTTTGTGACAACTACCATGCACACTGGTATTGCTTGATAACACAGTGCTCGAGGAGGATGAAGAAACAAATGTGGTTGTCCTGCGGAGCAACCCAGGCATCAAAATCGGGTTGTCCGCAAACAATTTCTGGTTGTCCAAAAAAATATCCCCAAATCCCGTATTTTCATGCACATAATAAATTACCAATATGGTCAGAAAACACACCAAAAAACAGTGGTGTAGCCAGGATTTTGTAACAAGGGGGGGGGTAAAAACAGAAACTGCGCAAAATAGTGGATGACTTTAATACTTTAATGGGCTCCTCCGTCTCCCGCGCTCTGCAACATCCTAATCGGCTCCTCTACCTTCTCTGCAATCTTTGTTTGGGTGGCCATGCGAAAGGCGACATTTTCGTTCATTGTTCTCGTGTCCAAAGTATGTAATTGTTCAGTGGCGGATCTAGGATCCAGGGAGGGGGTGAAAAAAGCGGGGGGTATGGGGGCCTCCCCCAGAATTTTGAAATGTAGATCGCCAGGAGATGGTATTGCGCGGCAACTATTTGAGTACATATACAGCCTTCATTCTGACTTACGACAATTCTCTTTTTTTTTTTTTACTTTCGATCAACATGAATCCGCGCACTGTTGTACTTTATTGTTTTGCAGGGCCAAAGGCCATCGCGAACACATTCGGCTAAAATAGATAATGGAATAAAAAATACCAAAATGTAAGGTGAACTGCTGTTTGCTGTTTCCAAATCGAGTTAATTCACCTCTGCATGAAATCAAAAACGCTGAAGTATACCAGTGTTGGAAATAGCAGCTGGTATGCCGTTGCTTTCCCACGACCGATAGATTAATGGCGGGCCGCCAGCGCTATAAGTGCTCTTGGCGATCCACTGAGATGAACAATAAATAAAGTGCGTTTTTCGTACATTTTCTTGGTTGTCCACCGGACAATGTCTCAGACTGGTTAGGTTGTCCGGCGCAAATTCTGGTTGTCTCGGACAACCGGACAACGCTTATTTCGAGCACTGTAACAGCAAGTGTGTAAAGTAAGGCTAACGTGTCTTAGAACGCTCGTGCAATATTATTTTAACAAAATCTGAAAATCTGTTTACATCATGTTGATGCGGTTACGTGATGATCGATGGCACTTGTTTCTCGCGAGACCCTGTCTATGTACTTTTACATAGTAACTTTAATTAAGCAATAGAGACAGAATCGTACCAGTCCACAACTACAACGTCACTCAATGAGATGCACTTGTGTCCGGTGGTTGCTAATTTCAAGGAAGTTGTCGCTATACAGAAGAATGTGACTGCCTTATTTGCTATTTTATATACCATAATAGCATAACCTTATCGTTATGGTGATTTTTAGCTCGCCTTGACATCGTCATGCAAGATGAGCTATTGCCATGGGGTGTCGTC